GTTATGAATTCAGCTGCATCTGCTTTCAGTAAGAATCATTACATTTCACAGGAGTTTTCAGTAATGCAGGATTACCGATGGGATACCTAATAACATTATAAAATTCTCAGAAATAAAACTGTCAGAAGGTTCAGTGTTATTGTTTAATAAACATTCCAGAGGATTATGCATTAAAACTATCTGACTTTTTCTGGACAATGTTTATTGAATAATCTTCACAGAAACCACCCAAACACTACTAGAACTATTAAAATAGAAACTGCAACTTAGGGGCTAAGTAAACGATAATAGTTTGTGGCAGATGGCTTATAAAAGAAACAAGAGCTTTTTCTTTTACTTTGATCAAGTACTGTTGGTCCCATGTAATTACATTGTAAGGACTTCTATGATATCCAGATGACATGAGGCTCTCAGACAGCGCCTTAACATAAGAATGCAAGTTCAAGCAACAGTAGATTTTCTCCCTCCTACCATGCACATACATTGCACAGCATTGGGAGTACCAGTAGAACTGATCGTGTTAGTGAGTGCTGCTTTTTCTTGTTCCATTTTGCATGTCTGAAGACGTTCTAGTAATGCTGGACAATGTTAACCAAAGAAAATCTTTTTTTTTTTCCTCATATTCTTTTTCTGTCTGAGGGAAGGCCTACCCTCCCTTACCACACTGAGAAAGTACTTTGGGAGCCAAATTTAAAGGCACCATCTTAAACATTAAAAGCTATATAATATTACAAATAAACAAACAATCTTAGTGGGAATAAGGTGGAAGTTGAAAGGTATAGAATAACATATGATTTATTTGACTTTTGCAGAGGGGTTAAGCAGGAGTTTTTCACTGAGAAATGTAATCTTATTTGTATGTAGAAAACGCGCATATTTATTATATTTATTTTGAAAAGTAGTATCCCCTACAAAATATTTGTCCACAAGAAAGATTTCAGAAAGCAACATATTTACAACCTTCCTACACTATAGATACAAGTGGTAGGAACCAGTCTGAATACAGAATTCATCCTCCCAGTATTTTTGTCATGAAATCAAGGAAGATGAATACGGACAGCACATAAAGACCATGATTAATCCCCAGCCATTAACAAGCCAATCTGCATCTGGTTTGCAGCAGCCTCACCTGGCTTTAAGCATGATACAGAAAGTGCGCATTAGGCTGAAAAATGCAGACACTATTTTTCCATATCTAGCCTTGCTGGGTTTAGCTGCGGTTGGAGGGCAAGGAGAGAAAAATATATTGTGCCAAATTAAAGAAGTGATCTGTCAGAGGGAGAACTTTCCTCAGATCCTAGTACAACTCTCAGGGACCTGTGGCATCAGCAAAGGCAACAGATGATGCACCCTGATACTTCCAGCGAATTCATCAGATCTATCTTTGTGGAATCAAAGCAAAATATCTAATCAATTGGTAGACAAACTGGTTGTACAGGAAGGCCTGTTGATTTTTTGTATGTAGCATACCAAGTCTTTACAAGGAAAAACTACTCAAGAAATTTGAATAAGTATTGATGGTTTTCAACTGTAGAGAGAACCAGAAAAGCAAACTAGCA